AGGCTGAGGCAGGTGGATTGCCTGAGCTCACAGCCTGAGCCAGAGTGAGACCGTGTCTCTAAAAAATAGTCCGGCGTTGTGGCAGGTGCTATTGTCCCAGCTACTTGGGAGGCTGAGGCAAGAGGATCACTTGACCCCAAGAGTTTCAGGTTGCTGTGAGCTAAGACTCCATGGCACTCTACTAAGGGTGACCAAGTGAGACTCAAAAACAAACAACAAAAAAACCCAGTAACACCATATGTTCTTTTTCAGATTTTGTACTTGGCATTAATAAAACATAATCCTGACTTTAAAATGTTAAGTTTCTTTTTCTTTGAAAAATGTTGGCCCTTTGTTAATATTTTTGAAAGAAAATCTAAATGGGAAAGAGTATCTTACCTTGTTTGGCATCATCACAAGCTGCTGGCCTTTGCAAATAGATCCTGATTCCAGCTTTCCCAGAACCACTGTGCCCATGTCCTATTGAAATTTAAAATAAAAACATCACATTTCAGACTTTCATTGCTGTTCTATAGCAGCTCAATATCTCAGAGTCAAATTCTGCAGACTTATTCATAAAGGAAAATCATTAGCTCCAGTGGGATTATCCTAAACATAGCAGAATTAAGAAATACTCTGTAATAATTTGTGTCATAAGCATGTGTATAGTTATAATATTAATAACTAAGCCTAAGATTTCATTATGTATGTATTTATTTATTTATTTTTGAGACAGAGTCTTACTATGTTGCACTCAGTAGTGCTGTGGAGTCATAGCTCACAGCAACCTCAAACTCCTGGGCTTAAGTGATTCTTTTGCCTCAGGTTACCAAGTAGCTGAGATTACAGACGCCTGCCACAATGCCCAGCTATTAAGTTTTCTTTTTTGAGACAGAGTCTCACTTTGTTACTCTCTGCAGAGTGCTGTGTCATCATAGCTCACAGCAACCTCAAACTCTTGGGCTCTGGCTCGGCACCCGTAGCTCAGTGGCTAGTGTGCCGGCTACATACAACAGGGCTGGCGGGTTGAAACCTGGCCCAGGCCTGCTAAACCACAATGACAACAACAGCAACGACAACAAAAGTAGCTGGGCACTGTGGCGGGCACCTGTAGTCCCAGCTATTTGGGAGGCTGAGGCAAGAGAATTGCTTAAGCTCAAGAGTTGGAGGTTGCTGTAAGCTGTGACGCCATAGTACTCTACCAAGGGTGACATAGTGAGACTTTGTCTCCAAAAAACAAACAAAGAAAAAGAGATTCATCTGCCTCAGCCTCACAGAGTGCTAGGATTACAGGGGTGAGCCATGGCGCCCAGACCAAGCCACAGAGTTTAAGAGAAAGTCTGGTATAGAAAAACACAGAATTTTACATTGGAAAATCTGAACCGTTTGTACAAATTTAGGTTCTCCAGGATCTTTGAACCTCTTTCCTGAGATATAAAATTTGAAAAACAATACTTGTTAAAGGATTTAGAATGGAGCTAAGGAAGGAATAAATATTTGACAAGGTCAAAACTTTACATAAATTGAACTGCAAAACTTTTTTTTTTGAGACAGAGCCTCAAGCTGCCCCCCGCCCCCCAATAGAATGCCATGGCATCACAGCTCATAGCAACCTCCAACCCCTGGGCTCAAGCAAGTCTCCTGCCTCAGCCTCCCAAGTAGCTGGAACCACA